GTGACTATTACAAGAGATTTCATACAATTGGCAAATAAAATCCAGCATCTACTCCTTGCTCATTTCCACTCACATGTGATGCATTCAATGTGCTGCCATAATCCTCAAGAAAAAAGGTGCATTTCATTGTAAGGTGCTTGATGATGCTTCTATGCATGTGTTTGCCCACATGTCCTGTATGACTGTCTTGGTAATACACTGCTTTTTCTTTTTCAGCTAACACTGTAATTGTGTCATGCACTGACACCTGCTCATCAACTAACATCACTTTTCCACTTTGTACTTTCAACAATTCTTGCAAAACATCAGTGCAACAAAGAAGAGAAAAGCATACTGTTTTGCTGAAGGCTATTGCAAATAATTCCAATTTCCAAAGTATCTCATGTATTTGCCAGTCCTCCAGGAGGGAACAGCAGTCCCATCCTCAACACACAGAGTGTGAATCCAAGAGGGATGTGAATGTTGATGGACAAGGGTTAGGGTCAGTAGCTAGAAGAGGTAAGTAGGGGAAGAGAAACACTTAATTTTGAAGTAGTCAATTGCAAAACAAAACAAATGTTTTTATTTGGTAGTTAAAAGAGTATTCTAATGTGCTCCTGGTTCTCTATGGTCTTTGCAAATCTATGCACAATCAATTTTTTTTTAGATTGTCTTTGCATGGCTAGAAAATGCAGGATTTATGTCAGATTCTCAGTGGCATTAATTCCTGGCTGGCTGAAACATGTCAGTAGCAAAGGGCTACTTTCTTTTCTTCGAGGATCTTAGATAAAACTGGGGTGGTGGTGTAATGTCATTATTCAGGGGCTTTGCGTGTTTTATGGAAAGTGGCACTCAATAAGGACTGAATAAGGAAGAGTTCAACAACACCCACATCTTTTCAGAGCAGTAGCAGCACATTCCTTTTGTGCCATATACACTTGCAAATATCTGGAAACATTTGAGGAAGAGGATGCCCCTGTATTTTACTTTTCTAACAGTGTCAGCAACAAGGGCAACAGGCCAAGCCCCAAATATATGAAATGCAGTTCTTTTCCAACCACATAATTTTCTTACTGTAAAATACCTTTCTTAACAAGTACAGAAAATAACAAGTTAGATGTGGGCAAATTCTGTTCTCAGTTATACCTATACAACTCTAACACTTTCAACAATGTCTCACCTGTTTGTTGTTATCATAGCAGAAGTCTCACAGTTTGTGTGTTTTGGAACAAAGCAAGCACCTTCTGCAAGTGATAGCAGATACACTATGTGTACACCCCAAATCTCTATCATCATATATCTCTTACTTGAGTTCTGTCTTTTTCATAGCCTGATTTTTGCCTGGTACCTTTGACAACTGACAACAAAAATAACAAAATACTGAAAAGCTCTGAAGCTGATAGTAAAACAAAAAAAGGGGCTATAATTTGCAGGGGAAACACAGTTTGTGTAGATAATCAATGCTCTTCAGATAGGCTCAGAGTAACTTTACATGGTATTCATTTGTCCATTTTGTTATAGTCAATAATGTAAAAAAACCCTGTATGTTTTTACAAATGAGACAGAGAACCTACTGTTGTTTTTGAGAGTTGTCTCTTGGTCTACTACTTGTATAACAGTTTTCATTTTTGTTTCCAAAAACAAAAGGCTCACTTGAAGTGCAAACAGAAGATGTTATTTATTTTTATAAATATTTTAATGTCACTACAGTTTCCATGATAGAAACAGAGCATAATACTTACTACCTGCTGGAAATCCACATCAACAGTTCTATGGCTGGAGGAGGAAATGCAGCTGAAGAACACCTAAATCATTCTTGTCTGCTGGCAATGATGGAAGACCAAAATGACTGTATAAATATTTCACTGCAACTGAAGTCTTCTGTGGAATGTAAGTTACAAAGGAGAGTCAGAATGGAAACCAAACCAGAAACAATATAAATCTTGCCAAAAATCTCCAGTAGGTAGTTCTTTGTTTTCAGCAACCATTTGAAAGTATTTAAATATTTCACAAGAAGAGAATACAATTTTGACCATCCCTTAGCAAAAGACCATCTTTAGTAGACAACTGGCAGTTTTTATAGTGATTTAAAGCAGGTTTAGCAGTGGCCTCTTTTTTTTTTCTTTCCTAGAAGAAATACAGCACAATAAATGTCTGTACATTGTTTTCTGCTTAGCAGCAACAGACTCACAAATTGCATGTGTGACAAAAACCTGGAATTGTATTTTTCCCTTCCCTGGTATTGGCATAATCCTGTTGTCTTGGAGGTAAATTTAAAAATCTCTGATAACTTCAGTGGTAGGAGAACCAGGAGACAGGTTTGACTTTTCTTAATGTTGTACTGCAATATCATACTCACTACAGGATGCTTAAAAGATAAATCTTCAGCTGAACTGGGCTTAGTTTTCTCAGAGGACAGCCTGTCAGCCTTTTATATTTCTCTTTGTGCTTTTTGGCTGCCTGACCATAGTCAGGGCTTTTATTCTGTCTATATGCAACACTTGGCATTTGGAAACTGCTGAATTTATTTGATTTTGTATGGCAAATGCACTTTGTGCTGTACCTTTGCTGGAAAAAATACCAGGGTTTTGAAGTTGGCTTAACCTATGTTAAATAAGCCTAGGTAAAATCCTAGAGAAAAGAAGGCAGTTCAGGGTCTTTCCTGTGAAAGGAGCATAGTTTGTAACTTGCCTTGCCAACTTGTGTCAGTACTATGAGCTAACCACCCCTTGCTGATTTACCCTGGCAATAGTTATCTCAAATCAGCAATAAAAATTGGCAACAGGTATTATTTTTTCTCATTACTTCAAGCTAAAGAGATGCTCAGGCCTTTTACTAAGCAAGGCTGATATACAAGTCATTACAAGTCACTACAAGATGGGGTGGAGTAGTCTTTTTGAAAGAAGCCTAAATGACTTTATAAAAGATATTTTTAGTTCTGAATTAGGAGGGATGAGCTGCACTTACCTCACAGAGCCAAGGGGTTATTGGCACTTTCCTCGTGAGTTCTCAATGGAGAAGATGCACAAAGGAAGTCAATGTTTGCCTAATTATACTATCCTGAGTCAAGGAAAGGAAAACTGTGGTTTGGCTTCAGTCTGTAATTTGATTTTTTATGAATCATAGTAGCATAGTTGTTTTTTAAAATAGTTATTTGACAGTGCTAAGGTATGCATTAACATGCAGCTGCCAAAGAAGTCTGAAAGGTCTTTCAAACAATCAGGGAGGAAAGTTCCTCACATCCTTTCTTTGTCATATATATCTTGCCTTGTACTAGTTGCTGAAGTAATTCCCTGTGGAATGTGGGTGCCTTTCTGCAGCAGTTGTTGCCTTTTGTTCTGGTTTGGTTTGGTTTGTTTTGTCTGTGGGGACAGGCACAATCCAAAAACCTACCAAGATCCAATGTTCTGCTTTTCTCTGCCAGTGATTTGCTGCTTAATTTTATTTCTTCTACATTTTGCTGACAGATCCAATGTGTATGACGAAGATCATTTGGCTCACTCTGATTCTAGTAGTTTTTGTGTTTACTATATCAATTGTCATCTACAAAATAGTCCAAGAAAATAAACAAAACTGTAAGTAGCAAGAAGTTAATCTGCATGAATTTAAATTTCTATGTAATGAAAATGTATTCATTTACAATAACAAAACTGTTGATTATTACTGTAGTTCAGACACTGATATTTTGTCACATGGTAAAAGTTTTTTTGAGAGGGACTGAAGTACTTGAATGATTGATGGTATCACATCTCTCCTCTGAATTATGGATGCAAATCCAAGCTTGTTGATGGTGAATGAAATATGAGGGGTTTTGACAGATTCTTGGTGGCCTATGATCCTTAGTGATATGAACTTCTGGTTTCAGACTGATTTCAGTAGCTGAAACAATTACAGTTGAACTTTGTGGAAAGCCTTAAGCAGAAACACCAAAAATCAATTTAAGCAGATTGAAATACCCTTTTCTTCTTAAAGATGATTCATCTAGGTCAGGGTCAAGAAGAATTAGAGGATAGATATGAGGAGATATGTACTCAGCTCTCTGTCCTAAAAATTGGCTGCCTAAATTCACTGGTGGTTTAATCCTATGCAGGTCAACCACACTCTGCTGCCTTAACCCCACAGCTGAATTAAGGCCAGACAGCATTTCTTCTCTTTGCTGTTATTTCAGTAAAGAATACAATTGCTGTGATTTGTGAACCAGCACTATTGACTATTCCCAGTGACTAGAACTTTGCTATAAAAGAATTTGTTCTTAGTTCTGAAATGATTGTTTCTACATGATGCCTTCACCAGCCAAGACAGGCTCTTCCTGTGCAATTCACTTGGGATAGGGGCTGAAATCAGATCTACAGTAATTTTTTCGAGCTATATACAATGAAAAAAGAAAATGAAAGTGTAGGAGTACCCTAAGCTTGAGAATTTTGATCCATCAAGATAAAGTCCTCTGCACAAAAACAATGCAGAAAATTGACCATTTGTCAGTTGCTGGTCCTTGTTTTTCTTCCCAAATCAGAGGCAGATGGTACAGGGAGCACATACCCTTTTATCAGTCTGAATATTACTTAAGCTGTTACCTAAAGGAATAACTCTTAGGTGCTTTTCACAGCAATTTCCTGAGATGTTCTGCCTGCATCAGCCCTGAGTGAGCAGAATGCCTCCAGACAACTGGCATTTAGCTGCTATTACCATTTAGCTGTTCATTCCCCTTTAGTTCAGAGATGCTGAATGGAAACCCTGGTCACAGGGGTAATAAGCCAAAATGATAAGCCATATCCATTCCCCTGATCATCCTTAAGTATCCACTGGCCATTTTGTACTGGAAGAGCAGTAGGAATCTAGCTTTAATCATAACTGAACAGAAGGAAGAGTGCCCACACACAAAATGTTTCTGTGATTTTTTTTGCATAATGTAAATACTTCATGGATGTATTTTCAAAGAAGCAGCAAAATAGTTGCTTGAAATGTCAAATTTGTGTCCCTCCCACCAATTAAAGAAATTCCTTACCAGATTATCTTGGTTAAAATGCATTCTCTTTTACTTATTGCTAGAACCAAATTCTGAGACCTGTTTTATGTACATAAAAACCCCACAGAGTGTAAATCAGGTCTTTGTAAGTGGGCTATTAAATGCTCTAATTTAAAGGACTGTTATTTGTAATTTGAAAACTATTTATAAATGTCTATTATTTTTTATGCTTTGAGTCATAACATCCTTTTTGAATGCAGAATTATTAGTAGTGGTGATCAATTATTTACCACCTGTATTCTTAAACATCTGTTTTCTATTAAATGCTTTTTTTCCCAGAAATGAAATGGACAGAAGCAGGAAGGAAAACTTCCCCTTTTGAGGCTTCTAATTACTGATTTGCTTCTAGAATACATTTTCTGTTAATTGAGACAAAGTGGATTTATGAGTTAAATTTATAAAATATTACATTATAAACAACATCAAAATGTTACGTATAAAAAGGCAAACACATAAAAATGAGATTTAAGGGTTATATTCCTTATGTGTACATATTACAATGCCACCTTAGATTGCAAGTCTACATCCTGCACAGAACACAGCAGAACATTACCATGTGCCTTAAACAGCTGCTATGAATTTTTCCAGTCATAATTCAGTTTGTAGTTTTTCTCATAATTTCTGAGCACCACTGAAGGCTGTTAAATATGGAATTATTCATTTCCTCTTGAGACCTTGCAAGCCATTCTGCTTGGCAGACTCTGAGACTCTCTGAAACATTATTTTCATGAAAGCATAAAATGAAATAGCCAAATAAACTTGGTGGAGGTTACAATCCAACCATGACAAAAGACTTAGGCTAGAAATTAGTAATTTTGCCTTTTCCCTTCTACTCTTGTCTCACAACCACTTCCAGAGCTTCCTTGACATTAACTGTTACAGTGCATGCTTAGGGCTTCAGCTCATTAGATCTCCACTGGCTATTCATAAAAAAATCATGACCTAAATAATTCGAATTTAATGAATTTCTGAGCGTTCTCAAAGGAAAGAGATAAAAATAATTTCTGTTATGGAGAATTGCAGCAAACCTGTCATCAGAAGCTGCTGAGCCTTGGCCTGTAGTCACTGCAGGACATTGCTAACCATGACAGCTGCAGAGTCTGCAATAAACCCAGCAGAGTATTAAGAGAGCAGCAGAAGGATGGAAAGACTGAGAGTTTATGAACTGTTTGGCCCAGCCCTATCTTTGTGAGTGGTGTGAACCTTGCTCTCAAACTCTGCTTCCATCCAAAACGAACACTCCACACCTGCAAAGAATCTCTGTTTCCTAGGGTGACAGTACACTCCACCCTTGCTCTTCCACTGCCAGCACTGTGAGTCTGAACCTGCACTGGGACATGGAGCTTTTGATATCCTTCCAAAATTTGTTCAAGGTACACAGTATAGAAAAAGGAAAGGAATAATTTGAAAGGGATGATCTGAATGGAATTTCCATAAAATTTAATTCAGGAAAATATAAATCATCTGACCTTTAGTTTTCCTTATCACCTTATTTCAACACCTTCCTGATTTTTTGAACACCTTCCAAGGTGTTCAACAGTTTCAGAAAAAGGGGTTTACCAGCTTTCCTTCTAATCAGTGCTGTTTGTAATTCCACAGCTGAGGCTAACACATTTTGTTTAAAACAGATCGTAAACAGAGAATAGCAACATTGCTTTCTACTATTCTAAGAAGAAAGAGTTCCACACATGCAAGAAGAACAGTATCTGCTACTAAAATTCATCCTTTTCCTGGTAAGTAATACAAAAGTAAAATAAGACCTTAACAAATCTTGAGGGCTGAGGAGGTCACAAAAGACCTTTTCAGTTTTTCCTGTCAGATGCTTCATGTTTCTTTCAGAGTTACCTTACTCCTACCCAAATTTGCTCTGGCTTATGTTATGGAAAAAAATAATTGTATTCTAAAGAAATAATTCTGACAATCAAACTAATTGTATTATAAAGAAATAATTCTGACAATCAAACTATAAGAAGACTTATATAGATCATGTGGGAATGCTTCTCCCAGTCTTCCAAGTGACTTTGAGATTTTACCTCTATTTAATTTTTGGCCAAGTTGTGTGCCAGGTTTGAGGTTTGGCAGCTGAGAGTTTTGTGTGTGCATGAAAAGCAAACAGAGATGAACACACGTGTATGATGCTCTATGAATTTGTGAGTCCTGATAAAATCTGCTACTGAAGAATGGAGTGAATGGCAGCAGCAAGACTCAAAGAATGGCTCTGCTGGCACTTCATAGCCTATTTCTAGGGTAAAATTCCCACAAAGCACAATTGCTGAGTTTCAGAGAGGAAATACAATGTGGTCTTCTGAGAGTGTAGTATGCTGAGCACAGAAAAATTAAATGGCATGGCTAAACTCAAAGTTCTGGTTGCAGAAAATATGATTTGGTAACAAATCTCTGTGTGAGAGGCAATTAGCAGCTGTAGCTGTGAGTGTTACTGACAGGGCTTGAAGAGTGATGTGCTGTAATAAATTTCATGGATTCTGGTTACACAAAGGGAATTCTATCTTTAAAAAGATTAACATGAACATATAGAATAACAGCTCTGAATAGCAAACCAACAAACCAACCTCTCTCCAAAAGAACAATACAAAGCCAGCAAATGAAAAAAAATGTTTTAAATTTGGCTAGGCTTGAGTACTGTGCTATTTGTCTTCTTAGTTCTTCAGGAGTAAGAAAAGACTCAATAATTTCTCTCCACAACTCAGTACCTCATGGCATTTCAATTTTACCTAGAAAAGAGTGACTAGCTCCTTGTCTGTCCAAACCCTCCTGCAAGAACAATTTATGCTCCTTGCTTTGAAAGCACTGACTACCTCTGAGATATATTTACGAGCTCATTATTTTCATCCTGCAGGAAAGGAATTACTTTTCTGACATCCATTGTCTTGAGTAGCCTCACTAATACTGTAGCTGTTTTATCAGCATGTTCACAATGGCATTTTTAATCTTGTATATCCAAAGGCATTTTTGATGATGGAGTTTCATGGAAAAAACTAGTTTTACTAGATTTTACTGACGAGAATAGGAATCCCTTATTTGTCTGTCATTCTTAATTCTATGTGCCTCCCACTTCAATCTATTCATGCAACCCAGAAAGATGCTTAGTTGTATTAACAGCTATAATAAAGTTTATTTTAATATAAAATAAACCTCGATTTCACACACTGTAATTTCAATCAATTTCCCAGCTTATACTAATATAATTTAAAGTGGAATCAAATCCATATGAAGAGTTTATTCTTTTCACAGTCGCTAAATTTAAGATTTGCTACTGTGATAATGGATTTTAAATAGCTATAGATGATTTTGTCGACAGCCCTTGATAATATTTTCACTATCATTAGTTCATAGCTTGGAATCTTGGAACAAAACATTCAGATCCACTGAAGACAATACAACCACCCTGGAAACACAGTAATGAGTACCTGAGAGGATGTGACAGTTTATCACAGAGATGAAAAGATGTATAGGTACTGCTAAAAGGTTATTCGAAGTTCAGAAATTGTAAGCAAAGAAAAAGAAGGAAGTCTATACTTTGAGAATGAGAGTAAATTTCTAGGTAGCTTAGGAAATCACTGTCTTAATGTCACTGTGGTCCTACAAAAAGATCATTTACAGCATGGATGAGGTTTTGTGAACATGTTAGTGGCTTTATGTTCATAAATCATTAGCATTAAGTCCAGAGGAAAGGGGGAAATATGTGTAGAATATTCTCTAGGGTAGGATTAAAGTTACAACCTTGCAAATTCATGGTGCTGCAAAGGATGAAGCACATATAGTGAGGACAAGGGAGCTTTAAAGCATTCTGGTCATAAATATTGACCAAACATTATCTGTGCTGGACACATTCCTGAGCCATGTGCTCTAGGATGGCTCTGCTTGAATAGGGTGGTTGGACCAGATGACTCACTGTGGTCCCTTCCAACCTAACTGGTTCTGTGATTCTGTGCTATTAAGCCAAAAAAGTATGTCCTAGGGCATGGGCTGTACACAACAAGTTTTCTAGACTTTGGATCTGCCCTTGCCATTGCATTTATGTGTAACAGTCCATGGAATGGTATGAACAGACAAAACACAGTTGCCCTTAAACACA